GATTAAATAAATATATAAATATTTAATAATAATTAAAATAATAAATATTTATTGAGTCCACATATACCAATTACAATTCGTGTTTGACGAGTCAAATATGAATACTGTAAATACATCTTGGGAACAGCGATGAAGTTACATTTATTTTTCATTTGTCAGAAGCCAACAAGGCTATCTCAGATTTGCTCCAAAGGACAGGGAAACATGGACAAAAAACCTTGATCAAGAGATGGTCATGCCTATGATTGCTACAATACTTGTTACAGATTATATTAAAGTATTACATAGAAGATAATTATTTTTAGCAGCAATTAGTTAACATATTGACTTTACTTAATTTAATTATTAAAATATTTTAAACCATTCGATTATACCATTTCATTTTAGAATATCATTTTTTTGTTATAATATGAATGATTTATTGCTACTAATATAATATTGATTATTTTTATTATTAAAAATAATAATAATAATAATAATAATAATAATAATAATAATAATAATAATAATAATAATAATAATTAATAAAATATAATAATAATTAATAATAATAATAATAATAATAATAATAATAATTAATATAACTAACATTAACATGATAAACAATTATGGTAACACCTATATATATATTTACACAGTTTAATAATTTCTTATAAACTTCTTGAAAAGGGGAAGGAACAGTTGATGGCAGATTTTTCCTATTTCTACATCTAGTCTTACTGCAGCACCAGAAATCACATTGCACATGTTAGTCATTGAGGTATTCCTGAATGCTATAAAAAGTTTTCCCCAAGAAGTGTTAAGTTTTTTTTTTTTTTTTTTTTTTTTTTTTTTTTTTAAGTGTACAAACCTGTTGTGTTTCTCAGAGTATTGTAATTTGTTGAAAATTGTATACCTGAAGAGAATTTACTCTTTTGGTATAATGTGCTTGTACACATTGGTATGAAGGTTACATGCTTGCCTTGTGTTATAGGGTTAAGCTGGAGTTAAATTTGTAAAGTGTGTCATTGTTTAGTAGATTTTTCTTTACCAAACATGATAATTCTTAAATAAAAAATACAAGCAGTGGAAGTATGTAAGTTTTTGAAATGAGGTCTGCAGGACTCTGTTCTTTTTGTATTTGTTATTGTTCGAATGATTCCTTTTGTATTTTGAATGTTGTTTAGCCTTCTGGTGCTTAGCCCCATATTATTATCCCGTATTTGAGAAAAGGTGCACATTTTGCAAAGTACACTGTTCGTGCTGTATCAATGGTGCTGTTTCTTATTATTATTCTAAGAGCATAATTAAGTTTGCTCAATTTTGAATTAATATTTCTAGTGAGAGTTCCACTTGAGGTTGGAGTAATTCATGTTAACACCGAAATTTGGTTCTATGTCATTTTTTATAAGAGTATTTCACACTATTCATGCAAAAATTTAAAGCAAAATTCGCTAATCATTTGCGAGAAATTTTGAAAAATGTTCTAGAGGCTTCATTAAGTACCCTCATAACGTAAAGAATATTTTCAAAATGCAGGTCTTGGCTAGACATGGTTTTCCTTCTAGGCAACATTTGTGTTGTTCGTAAACGGATGGACACACAGACGGCGTAAAACTAGTGACCCAAAACAGCACACACTTTCTCGCCACTTAGTAATGGTTATGTAATGAAATTATACCGCATATCCGTTCATAAAATAAGTTTACAATCGATTATTTTTACTTATTTGAAAATATGTCATTTCTTTATTGTAATTTCTGGTAACTTAAATAAAATTGAATTCGAACTGGTGGTGAATTCTTAAGTCGAATGCCGAAACTCGAAAATAATATCGAAAGTAAATATGCTAAATATTTGAATATTCAATATCTAATGTCTCTTTTCGCCGTCCTTGCCATCGAGAACCTTGGTACTCCACTTACCTTTTGCGTTTTTTTTACAACGCCACCCATCTCAGTATCGTTTCGTATTATAATTCTATTAAGCATCATTACGTCTTGGGCTATTATTGAAAAGTAAGTCAATGGTCATCTCTCAGACTGCCGACGAGCAAACCCTGCGAACATTTGCGCATTTTTCGCAAACTCAACTCTGTAAAGTCATTCTTTGTTTGGATTTACTGTCGATTAATTAGGGAATTCTCCTGCCTCTTTACAGTTCCTTCCCCTTCCAAAGGACTCAGTCATCTGGGGCCGCTGCACATCTTTCGACCTCCTTCCTTTACAACAAAAGCTCCCAACTATAGAGTAATTATATAGTCCCTTAGTCTATATCCGAGCCTACCCAATTTAGTCACGCACAGGGTGGAGAAATATTTTAGTTTTCGTTTTTCCCCGGCCCGGGCCCTTGATTACGCTACTCGTCACGAAACATCCGGATCTTTTGTTTCATCTGTTTTTTGCATACGTCATGATTACGTCAACCACAGCATGTAATGATACATAGCAAAATTATTGTACTAAGAGAAGCAATTAATGAGTAAATTACAGAATCATTCATGTTTGATAGTCGGACAATAATTCAAAAATGTTGTGCCTTTAAAAGTGTTCATCTATTAGTGATTCTATTTGGTCAAATTCTTGTAAATATTATTTGAAAGTGTGTGTATATAGTAACGTAATGGTTCGGGTGTATAAATTTGTGAAATTAGGAGGTAAAAATAACTAGATTGCTTAATTTAAATGTCACAAGACCAGGGTTTTGATGATAGGTTAGTGCACAATCCAGGATTTTTCTCTCGTGAATCAAAAAGTCTGCGAAATAAATTCCGCCGTCGAGATGTAGTGTTTCAAAACATCCATTGTTTCACTGTCAATAGTTTTCGATATTATTGTAATTTAACATCGACAGTATCATATTTACTCATTGTAATAGATTTAGATAATTATTTGTGTTTACATCAACGAGCTAGAATATACTAGAGTCTGTCCCTATAATTTCAGCGCTCTTGTGGGAGGTTGGACAACTAGTGGCCAAAAGTGTTCTGAAGTCAAAACATACGAGTGGCGTGTAACCGTCTGTAATGGCACCAAACGTAATGCTACACTGTGATTTTCGCAACTCTGCCCCTAGCAGGTATCACCTGTTGACAGTTTCATCCAAAGGGAGCTTAAACGGTCACTATTGTGACGATCAAGCTCCCGATTGGATGAAACCGTGACTAGCTAAGACCTGCAAGGCAAGCAGATTGCATTAATTCGCAGTACAGAATACTTTGTTTCTCAGAGGCGCTGCTTTACTGCAATAAACATGGCTTCAATTTGCTGCTTCAAACATGGAGTTCTTCAGAATGTAGTA